GATAGAGTAAACTCGTCTGGATATAATCTTATCCTCACAGATGAGTTGAATTTGGAATCAGATTTTATTAATTTTGTTAAGAGTAAATGAATCAAATTAACTCAATGCAATGAAGGACAGAATAAAAGATTTGACAAATATATAATTATAATTATCGTATTTTTATTATATATTTCTTTTATTTTGATTAGTATATATTTTAATTTTTAATTTTTTTTTTAATTTTTTTTGCATATATTTTATTTTTATTTTTTGTAAATATAAATTGGCAAGCCTATCAATTTTAAATAATTTTTTTTATATTTGCTAGTTGATATATCAGCTTCTACAAACTCTTTGTTTAAGACAAAAATACATGAATCAAGTGGATATTTAATACCAAATTCAGAATATTCATCTTTAGATTCGTTACTCTCACTCTTAGATTCGTCACTTTTAGATTCAATATTTTTATATTTATCATTTTCAGAAATGTCCTTAGGTTGATTATAACTTAACTCGATTTTACTATCTTGAATTGTTGCATTACTGCTATACGGAGGGTATTCAAATGACAATGCCATTATTGAGTTAATTGGCAATTTTTCTGAAATATTAATTGACACACTTTTTTTATCATATGTGCAATGTCTTAATGTATCATACTTAATACAAATAATTCTCGAGTCTGTATACTATAAAAGTTAATTTTATTCGAAAATCTAACCAACATTCACATAATTTGAAAGTCATTTGAATCTATATTTCTATTAAATGAAATATTGTAAAATAATTAATAATATGTATATTAAATAAAATATTGTAAAATAATTAATATATATATTAAATGAAATATTGTAAATTAATTAATAATATGTAGATTGTACTACTGTAATCTTAAAACTTTTTATTTACTTACTCTATCTCATTAATATTTTTAATTTTTGCAAAAAATCCAGTTCTACTTTTAAAATGTATCTTCACTGTTTTATCAATTAGCTGCTCATTTGCACCCTTAATAACTTTTGCAAAAATCTAATAGTTACGACTTTCTATATAAGAAGAAAAATCAATGTGATAATACTTGTTATTTTTATTAATTTGTACAATTCCTGTCATAAGTATCTATAACGCGTGTTATTATGTAAAAGTACTGTAAAGTTCAATTAAAGTTTTTTTAAATAATTAAATATGAAATTCAATTTACATTATTCAATATAATTTACAATTTTCTTCAATTGAATTTCAATAAAGTTAAAGGCATGGCCTCACCGTTAATATTTTTTTAAAAAAAAAATAATTTACAATTTTTTTTATTTAAAAAAATTTTAAACCAATTAAATAAATTCATTACCATAAATATCTGCATTTAAATTAGTATCATGAGATGGCCCTTTGAGGCATCCATAATCAACATCTTAGAGAAATTCACTTAGAAGCAAATATTCTGCTATTTAACTAAAGAAGCTGATTAAAACATTGCATGTAAGTTCTAATCCTGAAAAACATAATGTAGAAATATTGCCTGCATATTACTTTAATAATAATTAACTTAATACTTGTATTTCACCAACCTAGTAGCACCATATAAAAAAAATGAGAAATTCTGATAAAGAGGATAAAGAATAAAAACCTCCAAAATAATATATATATATATTTACAAAAAAAAGTGAATATAAAACCGTTAATTGTAAAAAAACAATAGTATAGGAATGAACAAAATACACAAATATGAATGAGAACAAAGGATGGTTAATTCTGAAAGTACTAGTGAATTGCTCATAACCCAGCCGCATATATTTTATCAAGAGTTCGCTTTTGTTTTTCTAAAGTATTCATCCTATTAGGTAATAAAAATTCTAGTCTATGCTCCTATTTAGTTCTTAACGATATTAAGGACTAAGAACTCGAATAATATCACGTTTCTCAATCTCTAAAAAAGTTAAAATAATCAACTTATACTTGATTAAGTTATGTTACAAAATTTATGCCTTCACGAAATAAAACTTACAACATTCTTTACCATCAGATTTACATATCAAAAAGTTATTATTATTGAGTATTTTAGTAATCTTGCCAGTTCCAGATCCTTTAAGTACATGTTTTATATTAACTTCTCCTAAATCACTCTTAGTTACAATATCACGTTCGATTTTAAATTTGATCATACCTAAAACATTCAGTTCTTAGATTATTGCAAGCACATACAGTCTTAAAAGCAAAAATCAAATAATACTATTTATCTCATAATTGACTTTGAATGACATTATGAAATCTAAAAATTACAATAAAGCAGAAATAATATATATAGCAATTCACTTTTTTGATTAAGTGTAGAGTGTTTATAAATATTTAAAAGATCATTATGACAAAATATAGTCTAGA